TACTTGATGAGAGATGGAAGAAAGAAATGGATGAGGAGATCGGATCAATTGGGAAGAGTGAGATAGGAAGCAAAGCTTAGCTAGTTGAGGAGTTTAAAGAAGTGATGAAGAGGGAGTTTGAGATGACCGATTTGGGCATCATGAAGTATTTTCTGGGTTTAGAGGTGGATCAAAGAACAACGGGTACTTTTGTGTCCCAAAAGAGGCATCGGCCACCGCGGCGTCGGGGGTGCTGGACGTCGTGTGGCTCGCGAGGCCATGGTACGCGGAGGAGTATCGCGCTCTGGTGGAAGAGGCATCAAAATGAAAAAAATTTAAGCTTATGGGGGAGTTTTGTTGGAAAATCTTAAATTTCTAGAGATTCCGAGATATCCGAGATATCCGAGATATCCGATTTAAGTTATCTGGAATTATTTGATTTATCTTTTGAGTTATTTTGTTTCAGATTAGATAAGAGAGTTTTTTTGATAAGTTTTGATTTGATAAGATATTTTATTATCTTCTTGTTAGGCCATCTCTTATTCAATAAAAAACGCAGTGAGTTGCTACGTTCACCCATAACATTAGTATTACCTCGTCTCTCTTATTTTTTTCTACAATTTATGCCTAACATATTTGATTTGATGAGCCATCCTAAGACGGAAAACAAGAGCATTAGAGGAAGAAAAAAAGTGGCCTACCTTCATCCTGGTGCTGCCTGAAGCTTTGACAACCTGCTTTCTCAAGTTTTGGCACTCAAATCCATCCAATATATCTTCAACATGTAAGCATACATTTTGAATCTGCCTGAGCCATTCACGCAACCCATGCTTCTGCTCCCTCTTCTCCTCAGCATCCAACAACACACCTTTCACAATTGACAAGGTGTCTTTGATCCCTTGCACATCCTCATACACATGATAGGCACGAGAAGCTTCTTCATAAACAGAAGAAGCAAGCTTCCTTAGCAATGATTCAGCAATATCAAAGACAAAATATTCGGCCATGATACTCAGGAAAGAGCATAAAGGAATTGGGATATAAGTTTGTGGTGAGAATGACCAATGACTATGGTGTATAGTGGAAAAACATGATATGTACACCTATCGGGGTAACTGCATAAGTCGTTGATTTTGACTCGCGGCTATTAATGCCACAAGATTATTGACTCTGACTTCTGTCCAAACTCCAAACATCTTTCTTCAAACTCATACCGGTGTAGGCTCTTAGCTCTCATCTTTAGATAAGAAATTCACCGCTAGTAAATAATTTGGTATTCCATATGATTATATCTTAATGTTTGGAACCTCTACAAATTTGTATAGATTCTTAAAATGATTGTTACTCATCTTCCTTAAAATAATTGTTAAGAATAAAAATAGTGATTTTAAATTTTAAAAAGATATAAATTAAAGAAAAATATTTTAAAGAAATTAAACATAAATGTATTTATTTTACGGGACAAAATAATATTTACAAATTAAAAAAAATGAAATAAATAAATAAATTACAAGGATAAAAGCAAAATTTCTTAATTTTATAAGGACTAAAAACATATTTAAGTCAAATAAATATATAAAAAGTAACTAAATAATTTTTAAAATGATATTATATATTACAATAATATTAAAAAAATTGACTAAATTAAATTTTGGTCTCTTATCTTATTTATTAGATTCATTTTGATCTTTATCTATTAAAATGCTAATTTTAGTCTTATATCTTTTATATTTGGATCAATTTGATCTTTTTAAAAAAATTATTTCAAATTTTGTGAAATGATTTTGAATCAATTTTTTTTATTGATCCAAGACTTAAAACTTATTATATTCATGTATTTGAAAACTATGAAATTCAATTGGAGTCTAAATCCAATAGAGTTATATAATCATAGTAAAAATCACGTGAAAAATATGTCTCATAAATAATCAGAAAATAATATAAAATTAGTTGCGTTTAATTGTTTAAATTTCATGGCCTTAAGGCTTAATCTCATACTTATCTAATTCTTTTAACATATCATCTTAATGTAAAATTTATGCATACACATCAACATAATTTCATTCTCATGTCACACATTATCATCATCTCACATCACATTATTCACTAATATTTCAAACATTGTACACAATATTCTCAAGTGAAATATCAACATCTCATCACATTATGAATAACCTTCTCATACTATATCATGCATAATCATCTCCTATTACATATAAATTTCTCATGCTACACATAAAACATATCATATCATGCAAATCACATAAAAACATCTCATATTGCATATAGACACAAAGTCTCAAGCACCAGGTAACACAAACGTAATCTTGCATCATCATCATAACTCATTCACAAATATCCCCTTTAATTTTATTCTTGTTCTTTTTTAACCATTGATATAAGTTTCTTAAACCATCTCCAAGATTAAACATTTAAAGGGTAAAACAACTCACTATTACAACTCTCAAATTGTCTTTCCTTATATTAAGCTCTTACAGTATTATGGGGTCTAAACGCGATATAAAGAATTATATGTCTGATTTCAAATTGATATCAATTTTGTTAAAAAGATGATACAATTATCTAAAATTTTTATGTTGACCTTAAGAATTAATTTTTTCATCTACTATTTTTAAAAAATTACAAAATCGTAACTTTTTAATCTAAATTTAACATCTTGACCAACGCTTATTAATTTGATCATAACTTAATTTTTAAACCTTTTATTCGAGTGATTACAACAAAAAGAAAGAGAAAAGTCATAAGAAAAAATAGCTTTTATCAACTTTTGACTCTTCTCCGAAGTCAAATTTATATCATGATCTATTTAGCAAAACTTCTCTAAAATCATTTTTAAAAGAAATATAAATGTTTATTCAAAAACTAAAATTAATTTATACAAACAAGTTAATTTGTAAAAAAAATTATATTAATTTCTTCAAAATATGCTTTTTAACTTAATAAAATGATTTTTTATTATTTTATTTTTCCTTTTTATTTTCTTCTCCTAAAAATGTTAATAAATAAATTCTAAAAGAGCACTACTATTTGGTACGACGAGATTTCACTCGTAAAACTACAAAAGCCACATGTTTGTATTTCATTGGATGGAGATAAAATTTAAAATAAAATTTAGAGTAAATAAGATAGAAGTCACCGCTACTAGATTTTAATTTTTTAGCAACATTTTCTTGTTTATATTTGTTAAAATGTTACTAAATATTAAGCAAATAAGTTATTTTGCACCACTTTTTTTAAAAATATCATTATAAATAAAGTAATATTTTTATTTTAATATTATTCTTTCTAATTATTTTCAAAATCAAAGTCTCATATCGAGGAAAAAAATTTCCACATATGTTATTTTGCAACATTTTTTTTGAAAAATGTTACTATAATTACTTCTAAAATCGAAATCCCACATCGAGTAAAAAAAATATATTTCTCTTATCTCTAATTATTATTTATAATTAAAGTCCTACATCGAATAGATTAATGACTCATAAAAAGTATATATAACCATATAGTTATACTTAAAATAAATGAAATTTGATATTTTATATCTAATTAGTGGTAACTAATTAAGAATGACTTTCCCTAAATTAAAATTAATTATTATTTTATAAAATTAATAAAATATTGACAACATCATTAAAATGTTACAAAAATACTACTTTGCTAACATTTGAAAAATGTTGTCTAATTATATAAAAATATTATTAAAAGTCTTTAGTAACATGAACTATATACAATATTTGATAATATGTTACTAAACTAAATTAGTAACATTTATACATAATTAAGTAACATTTTTTAAATGTTGCTAAAACCTTTTTCACAATTCAGTAGTTTTGTGCAGAATATGACAGCCTCAGATCCCATAACAATAAGACCTCCTTCACAAAAAGCACCACGGCCGGAAATTTAAGTTGATTTAGTAGATATTGTACTATTAAGTTGAATAAGTTTATTAAACCCTAAACCCTGCAATCAATTTTGAACCGAAACCTTTGTTCACAGGGGCAGTTCGGAACTGCACAAATGAAACTTGATCTCACAAAATGAAAAACAGAAAACAAAATCACATTAGAAGGATGATCTTCTCTTCACTGTTGTAGTCTCCATGCCTATGCAACATTTCAGTCTTACTAATTGCGCAATCTCAACCGCAGCTGCGACCGCATTCGAAAAAGAAGTTTCTCTTCTCTTGTTTCTCCAATGGAAAAGCGTTTGATGTGAGAGATGAAGGACCAGTACTCACCAGATTGTGGTTCACATTTTCGACACAATTCAGGGCAACCATCTATGCTCAAATCTTCAAGGGCAGTGAGGCTATGCATGTCATTTGGGAGAGACAATAGCTGAGGACAGTTAAAAATATGGAGCATCTTAAGATGACTCATTCTTGTCAGCCACTCAGGAAGCACCTCAAGACTATCACAATTTAAAATGAACAATCTCTGCAAAGTGTCTGCGGCTCCTTGAATCCATTGGGGCAATGTCTGTTGCCTTGGACAATGCTCAAGATGCAGAAGTTTCATCCTCAAACTATGGTTTGGGCTTTCACAGTTCAACGACAGATTTAGCGTCATGCACCTTATTACAAACAAAACTTCCAGTTTTGGGAGAATATGAAGAGGTAAGGACTCAAGGCACCCACATGATTGAACAAGCAAAACTTTAAGGGATGTGAGTTGTGCCCTTCTGAACAAAAACTTCAAATTGTCACAATATTCAAAACTCAAAGTATGAAGATTGTTAAGGCTTGCAAACTCATCTTCTGGCAGAATAGATTGTTTTGTGGTTATGAGCAATCTTTGAAGGCTGACTAACATTCCTAATCCTTTAGGCAATGTTTCAAGCTCCATGCATCCTCTGAGGGACAAAAATTTCAAATTTTGGAGTTTGCATATAGAATGAGGAAGTCTTTTTATTTTTCTGTTATTTTCAAGACAGAGAGCTCGCAGATGCTCCAATTTACCAATTGAATTAGGCAGAGTCTCAATACGGGAATCACTTAAACTTAAAACCCGTAAGTATTTGTATCTTGTTATCCATGTATACAAAAGAGATTCACTGTCAACACCCACCCCATGGATGGGAAAAAGTATAGTCCTCACCCTTCTGGACTTGTAAAACAAAGCATTGCTAAGTGAATCATTTTCAACAACTGATAAATGCCTTACTTGCCCAGGTATATTACTAGTATGGGAGTTGACCACTACAAGCTCCCCCTTGGCAATGTACAGTGCAAGATCATGTACTAAATCATGTACTTTGAAACAGTAAAGGTGGGCGCCTAAGTCCTCAAAATCCTCTAGAAATGATCTTGAACGTAACTCATCTATATATAGTCTAGATATATTCTCTATCTTTTGACTTCCAACTGGAGATCTAAGTAATCCATGTGCCCCCCAAAGATCAGTAACACAAGCATCAGAAAAACAAAAATCTTTAGGAAAAAGGGAAAAGTAAGCAAAACAGAGCCTCAAATAGGATGGCATTTGATCATAGCTTAACTTGAGAGCAGGTAAAATGTCATCTTTTTTCTGTTTTAAGTTCCATATCTCGTGATCTCTTACGAATTTCCACCGTTCTAAATTAAAATTTAAGAATAGGGAACTTCCTAAAGTTCGAACCGCCAATGGAACTCCTCGACATTTTTTCACAATTTCTTTTCCTATCTCCACTAAATTTGGATATTTTGTTTCTTCGCCTTCCTTAAATGCCCATTTGACAAACAGAGATAAACAATTTTCCATAGAAAGACCTTCTAAAACATACGGGGTAACAGTGCCCATCATTGAAGCAATTGTGTTGCTTCGTGTTGTCACTATGATTTTGTTTCCCACTGCACCAACCTTCAATAAATCTTTCAACTCTATCCATTTTGTACGGTCATCACTCCATATATCATCCAAAACTAGTAAATACTTCTGACTAGAAAGCTTGTGTCTAAGACGACTTTGTAACTGCTCAATATCTAAGCTGTTAAGGTTTTCTTGGTGAGCAAAAGCAATATTTGGAGCTGAAGCAGAGGCAGAGTTGATAATTTTAATAATTATCTGCCTAATGTCAAAATCATCTGAGACACACACCCATATCTTCAATTTGAAAAGTTCATCCATCCTCTTATCATTGAACACCAACTTTGCAAGTGTAGTCTTCCCCAAGCCTCCAATACCCACTAAGGGAATAACACAAAGACTTTTATCACCATCACCAAGAGGATGAGGCTGCATTAAAAGTTTTAAAATGGCTTCCTTATCCTTCTCCCTTCCTATAACCCCTGAAGCATCAACATAGGAATAAGTCATTTCCCTCCTTTGCACAAGTCTGTGATCAGCATGAATCCTCTGAAGACCAAACTTGTTGCCATCAGCTGCTATCTTATCCAATCTATGCCTAATATATTTGATTTGACGAGCCATCTTAAAACGTAAAAGAAGAGAATTAGAGGAAGAAAAGAAGTGGCCTACCTTCATTCTGGTGGTGCCTGAAGCTTTGACAACTTGCTTTCTCAAGTTTTGGCACTGAAATCCATCCAATATATCTTCAGCATCTAAGCATACGTTTTGAATCTGGCTGAGCCATTCACGCAACCCATGCTGCTGCTCCCTCTTCTCCTCAGCATCCAACAACACACCTTTCACAATTGACAAGGTGTCTTTGATCCCTTGCACATCCTCATACACATCATAGGCACGAGAAGCTTGTCCATAAACAGAAGAAGCAAGCTTCCCTAGTAGTGATTCAGCAATATCTAAGACAAAATATTCGGCCATGATATTAGGAAAGAGCAGAAAGGAATTGGGATGTAAGTTTGTGGTGCGGTCATTCGTGCTCCTATAAGTTTGTTTTCCAAATTGAACAGTCAGGATGACGAATGAGTCAATGAGACAATGACGTGATACTGTTGTATAAAGGAAACAGATGGTATGTACATCTATCGGGGTAACCACATAAGTCGTTAATTTTGACTTGTGACTTTTTTTTTTTTTTTTTAAATGATATTGACTTGTGACTCTTCATGTCACGGTATTACGACCGTACACTTAGCTAGATCTCATAAATATAAATGAAAATAATTATATATAATTAAGGAAGTGAGAGAGAATTTATTATGAGAGATGAGAGGGTTAAAATATAATCCTTAGATTAATTAAGTGAGAGAAAATTTGAGATTTAATCAAGTGAGAGAAAATTAATCTAAGAGTTATATTTTAACCCTCTCATCTGTCACAATAAATTCCTTCTCACTTGATATGCTCCCTCTATATATATATATATATATGCTCTAAAATTTTAAATATATTGATAGCTGGCCAGGGTGGGTGAAAGGATTTTTCACTATATGCAGCTGTGAAATAAAAATTACAATTAAAGGGAATGGATAGTTGCTATACAAATCCTATGCTTTATGATTGAGAGTCTTTTATGGAGCTCAATAAAATTGATATATCTAAAGGGGATGGAGCACATATTATAATAAAAGACAAATAAATAATTATAATTAAAAATTGTTCATATATGACATTAATATACATACATTTATATATATATATATATATGATTAGAATCTAACTCTTCTAGTGAAGAAATTGCACTAAATCAGCTATTGATATTATAATTAATTATATATTTTATTTTGCAAGAATTTAATTTTTTTCCCAAATCTTAATCATTAATTTTATAATTAGTAGTTATGATTACACTTTATCCTCTAAAATACACTTTTTTTCTTTAGAAGAGTCAAATTTGTTGAATGTTGCTTCGTTATTAGAGAAAGACTTTTGAAGATAAAAAAATTATGTGATTAGCTATACAAATACAAAAGTGATCAAAGTTCATAGGAAAAACAAGAATTTTGCTTTTAAATTTGACAAAGGAAAAGCCAACTATAAATGATGAAAATATAAATGAAGAGTACAAAAATACATTTAAAGAGACTTATATTTACTAGGAGAATAAAAATGATGAAGAATATTCATCTTTTAAAGAGAGGTATAAATCAAAGAAAGAATAAATTAATAGGAATATGTCATTTTTGTTTCTAATATATACTTAGATTTAATTTATTTTAATTATTTTAAAATTTGATTCCTTATTTTTAAAATAGCATGAAATTAATATTTAAATTTTGTTTTAAATATTCTCTCTATTCATAGAGCCAATGAGTAAAATTAGACTAAAATGTATATCTCTAAGAAAAATACAAATAAATACAAAACAAGACATCAACGTACTCCATACACATTTTTTAGTGGATTGAACAGTTCAACGAGGAAAAGAAAAATTCACACAAGATCATAATTTAAATTTTAGTCGCCGTGCTTGCGCAGCATTTCAGTTTTCCTAATCCCGCAATTTCAACCGCATCCGCGACTGCAATCGAAAGAGGAGGTGCCCTTCTCTTGTTTCTCCAATGGAAAGACGTTTGATGTGAGAGATGAAGGACCAGTACTCACCAGATTGTGGCTCACATTTTCGACACAGTTCAGGACAACCATCTATGCTCAAATCTTCAAGGGCAGTGAGTCGATGCATGCCACTTGGGAGAAACAACAGTTGAGGACAGTTAACAATGTGGAGCATCTTAAGATGACTCATTCTTGTCAGCCACTCAGGAAGCAACTTAAGACTATCACAATTTAAAATTAACAATGTCTGCAAAGTATCAGTGGCTCCTTCAATCCAGTGAGGCAATCTTTGTTGCCTTGGACAATTCTCGACATGCAGAAATTTCATCCTCAATCTTTGGATTTGGCTTTCATAGTTCCACGACAGATTTAGCATCTCGCACCTTATTACAAGCAGAACTTCCAGTTTAGGGAGAATATGAAGAGGTAAGGACTCAAGGCTCCCACACGATTGAACATGCAAAACTTGAAGGGATGTAAGTTGTGCCCATCTGAACAAAAACTTCAAATTGTCACAATATTCAAAAATCAAAGATTGGAGACTGCACAAGCTTGCAAATTCATCCTCTGAAAGAATAGATTGTTTTGTGGTTATATGCAAGTGTTGAAGGCTGATTAACATGCCTAATCCTTTAGGCAATGTTTCAAGCTCCACGCATCCTCTGAGTGACAAAAGTTGCAAGTTTTGGAGTTTGCGTATAGAATCAGGAAGTCTTTTTATTTTGCAATTATTTTCGAGTGTGAGAGCTCGCAAATGCTTCAATTTAGCAATCGAATTAGGTAGTGTCTCAAATGAGGAATCACTTAAATCTAAAATCCGTAAGTATTTGTATCTTGTTATCCATGTGACCAAAAGAGCTTCATTGTCAACACCCATTCCAACGATGGGAAATAATATAGTTCTCACACTTCTGGACTTGAAGAATAAAGCATGGCTAAGTGAATCAGTTTCCCCAACTGACAAATGCCTTACTTGCTTAGGTATATTCTGAGTGGAGTTTACCAGTAGATGCTCCTCTTTAGCGACATATGACGCAAGATCATGTACTAAATCATGTACTTTGAAATAGTAAATGTGGCCAAAGTCCTCAAAATCCTCAAGAAATGATCTAGAATGCAACTCATCTATATACTGTCTTGCAATATTCCGTAGCTTTTGACTTCCAACTGGAGGTCCTAGTAATCCAAGTGCCACCCAAAGACTAGAAATTTCAAGACCAGCAAAACCAAAATCTTTAGGAAAAAGGGAAAAATAAGCAAAACAATGTCTCAAATGGGATGGCATTTGATCATAGCTCAACTTCAGAGCAGGTAAAATGTCATCTTTTTTTTGTTGCAAGTTCCATATCTCATGATCTCTTATGAATTTCCACCTTTCTAAATCATAATTTAAGAACAGGGAACTCCCTAAAGTTCGCACCGCTAGTGGAACCCCTCGACACTTTTTCACAATTTCTTTTCCGATTTCCACCAGATTTGGATATTCGTTTTCTTCGCCTTCCTTAAATGCCCATTTGACAAAAAGAGATAAACAATTCTCCATAGAAAGGCCTTCTAAAATATACGAGGGAACTGTGCCCATCATCGAAGCAATTGAGCTACTTCGTGTTGTCACCAAGATTTTGCTTCCCACTGCACCAACCTTCAAGAAATCTTTCAACTCTATCCATTTTGCTCGGTCGTCATTCCATATATCATCCAACACTAGTAAATACTTCTGACAAGAAAGTGTGTATCTAAGACGACTTTGTAACTGCTCAATATCTAAGTTGTTAATGTTTTCATGGTGAGCAAGAAAAATAATTGGGGCTGAAGCAGAAGCTGAGTTGATAATTTTAATAATTAACTGCCTAATGTCGAAATCATCTGAGATACACACCCACATCTTTAATTGGAAAAAATCGTCCATCCTCTTATCATTGAACACCAACTTTGCAAGTGTGGTCTTCCCTAAGCCTCCAATGCCTACGATGGGAATAACACACAGACTTCTATCTCCATCACCATCACCATGAGGGAGAGGTTGCATCAAAAGCTTGATAATTTCCTCCCTATCCTTCTCCCTTCCTATAACGCCTGAAGCGTCAACATAGGAATAAGTCATTTCCCTCCTTTGCACAAGTCTGTGGTCAACATCAATTCTCTGAAGACCAAACTTGTTGCCATCAGCTGCTATCTTATCCAATCTATGTCTAATATATTTGATTTGATGAGCCATCCTAAAACGGAAAAGAAGGGAATTTGAGGAAGAAAAGAAGTGGCCTACCTTCATTCTGGTGCTGCCTGAAGCTTTGACAACTTGCTTTCTCAAGTTTTGGTACTCAAATCCATCCAATATATCTTCAGCATCTAAGCATACGTTTTGAATCTGCCTGAGCCATTCACGCAACCCATGCTTCTGCTCCCTCTTCTCCTCAGCATCCAACAACACACCTTTCACAATTGACAAGGTGTCTTTGATCCCTTGCACATCCTCATACACATGATAGGCACGAGAAGCTTCTTCATAAACAGAAGAAGCAAGCTTCCTCAGCAATGATTCAGCAATATCAAAGACAAAATATTCGGCCATGATACTCAGGAAAGAGCATAAAGGAATTGGGATATAAGTTTGTGGTGAGAATGACCAATGACTATGGTGTATAGTGGAAAAACATGATATGTACACCTATCGGGGTAACTGCATAAGTCGTTGATTTTGACTCGCGGCTATTAATGCCACAATATTATTGACTCTGACTTCTGTCCAAATCCAAACTCCAAACATCTTTCTTCAAACTCATACTGGACACTGGTGTCCCTTAGCTCTCATCTTTGGATAAGAAATTCATTGCTAGGTAAATGCTGTGATTGGGAGAGAAAATTTACAAATTTAAGAAATTTTAAATTTTTTTAATTTAAATTATTTTATTTTAATTTTTATTAATTTTAAAATATTTTATTTGGATAAATCAATTCAAATTTATCAAATTTTAAATTGTTAAGTTTTATATGATAATTTGTTTTTATTATAGTAAATTAATTTTAAAATTGTATTTATATGATGAGATTTTTAAATTAAATTTTATAAAAATAAATATTAGCTAATTTATAAATATTTAATAATTTTAAAAATTATTTAATAATATTTAATAAATACTCATACAATTTTAAGATGTCTAAATATATCATTCTTTAAACACTTATAAGATGTTATTTTATTTTAGAAATTAAAAAATACAAATTAAATTTTAACCAAAAATAAAATAAAAATGGTTTTAGTTCGTATAAAATTAGTTGTTGTTTTTTATTTTAGTCTCTATAAAGTTTTTTTTTCATCTCTGAAAAATTGAAACCCTTGTTATTATCCTTTATGTTTATTAAAAGGTTAAGTGAACATTCTATGTGTTACATATGATTATATGTTAGTGTTTATCTCTAAAAATTTGTATAGATCCTTAAAATGATTGTTACTCATCTTTCTTAAAATAATTATTAGGGACAAAAAATAGTAACTTTAAATTTAGAGAGACAAAAATCAAGGAAAAATATTTTACAAAAATCAAACCAAAATTTATTTATTTTACAGGACCAAATTAATGTTTACAAATTTAAAAAACATGAAGAAAAAGGGGGGAAAATACAGGGATCAAAAGTAAAACTCCTTAAATTTATAGGACTAAAAATATATTTAAGTTAAATTAAAATATAAAAAGCAACCAAATAATTTTTAAAATGACATTATACATCACAATAATATTAAATATAATAAAAAATTAACTAAATTATAATTTTAGTCATTTATCATATTTTTTAGATTTATTTTGATCTTTATCTATTAAAATGTTAATTTTAATCTTTTATCCTTTACATTTGGATCAATTTTTTCCTTTTAAAAAAATTATCATTTCCAATCTTGTGAAATGAGTTTCAATTAGTTTTTTTATTGATCGAAGACTTGAAACTTATTATTCATGTATATGAAATCTATGAAATTCAATTGACGTCTAAATCCAATAGAGTTAAAATCATAATAAAAATCATGTGAAAAATATGTTTCGTGAACAATTAGAAAATAATATGAAATTAGATTATTGAATTTTTCAATTTCTTTTTGGACTTATGTTTATGAAATTTTCACCATGCTTATGATTTTTTTAAATTTTAGTTGCATTTAATTGTTTTAATCACATGGTCTAAAGGCTTAGTCTTTTGACCCAAAGGCTTAGTCTTATAAATTCAATTCATACTCATTTCATTCTCTTAACATATCATCTTAACGTAAAACTCATGCATACACATTAACATCGTTTCATTCTCATGTCACATATAATCATCATTCCACATCACATTATTCACCAATGTTTCAAACACTGGAAATAATATTCTCAAGTCAAATATCAACATCTCATTACATATTACGTATAATCTTCTTAGGTTATATCATGCGTGACATCTCCTATCACATATAAATTTCTCATGCTACCCATAAACATATCATATCATGCATATCACATAAAAACACTTCATATTGCATATAGACACAATGTCTCAAGCATAAGGTAACACAAACATAACTTTGTATCATCATCATAACTCATTCTCAAATATCCCCTCTCATTCTTTCTCTTTCTTAATGATTGATATAAGATTTTTAAAACATCTCCAAGATTAAATACTTAAAGGGTATAACAACTCACCATTACAACTTTCAAATTGTCTCTCCTTATATTAAGCTCTTACGATATTGTGGGGTCTAAATGCGATATCAAGAGTTATACATATAATATCAAATTGATATCAATTTTGTTAGAAAGATGATACAATTATCTAATTTTTATATTGACCTCAAGAATTAATTTTTTTTATCTTTTATTTTAAAAAATTACAATACTGCAACTTTTCAATCTAAATTTGACATCAAAACCACCACTTACTAATTTGATCATAACTTAAGTTCTAAATCTCTTTTTTGGGTGATTATAACAAAAAGAAAAAGAAAAGCCATAAGAAAAGATAATTTTTATTAGCTATTGACTCTTTTTCGAAATTAGATTTATATCACAATTTATTTAGGGAAACTTCTCTAAAATCATTTCTAAAAGAAATATAAATGCTTATTCAAAAATTAAAATTAATTTATACACAAGTTAATTTGTAAAACAAAAATTATATTAATTTCTTTAAAATATATTTTTTAATTTATGTATAAGATAATTTTAATTTATAATTTTTTTTATTTTTATCTCCTAAAAATATTAATAAAAAAGTTTATCTAAACAAACCCTTGCTTAATAAATTATAGGCTAAAAGCCTAATTTGCTCCCTTATAATATTAAAAAGTTTTAATTTGATCTCACTTCAATTTTTTGTTTCAATTTGGTCTCAATTTAATTTAAAATACCTCAATAATTAGGGACTTTCGTCCAAATTTGACTAACGAGGTTAACTCCTTGTCACGTGGATGCCTACGTGGATTTACTTAAAGTTTTCTTCTCCACTCTTCTTCTTCCACCGAAACCCTAGACCTCCACCAATTCCTCAAGTAGTGTCGTGCCAACAATCATCGCGTCGTTGCCTTCGCCGACCCCAAGTGCACCACGCGCGGCTTTAGCCGCGCCCTCCCTCATCAGCAAAATCAACGTCGCTGTGAAGCAAAACCCCATCAGAATCAACATCGTCGCAAATTTGAGCCCCAAATCTATGAATTTTAGCTACCTTCTGGCAAAATTTGAGCCCAATCGGAGCTACTTTTTCTAAATTACCAAAATACCCCTATGTAAAAATTTATAGAACTCTATCAAGATGAAGGAATTTCGCAATTTTGAGCCCAGAAAACTTCTAAAGGGAGTATGTTTGCTCATAATCACGTTTACCTTTGCCAGCCAAGTTTCAGCCCAATCAGAGAAGAAATGAAAATTTCTGAGTAGGTTCTATGGAAGACAATTTCTCCATCTTCGGATTTCTATTAGTCCACTATTTTTTTCTACACCTTTTACTTTGTTTTTCCTCTGTTTTGGCAGTAAAAAGAAACAACAACAAAATAACTACAGAACAGCAATGGAAAAATTGTAAAACATCAACGAAAAAATTGCAAAACAGCAACAAAAAAACTACAAAATAGCAACAAAACAATTGCAATTTTTTTTCAATAATCAGAAATAGAATTAGAGATGAACAGCAAACTCTTTTTTTTTAAGCAAACAAATAACAAACTCTATATTATTTAGAGACGAACAACAAAATATACCTATTATTTGAAACAGAATTAGAGACGAATCTGAACCTGTAGGGAGTTAGTGACTAAACAAACAAACAAAAATAGAAACAAAAATTTACCTATACTACAAACCTAAAAACTAAAATTATAAAAGCAACAGAATACTCTATTATTTAGAGACAGAAAAATAAAGACATTTATATAAACACTTGGTATACAAAATGGAAACATTTCATCAAACTGTTAGTATACATGATAAAAATCAAAACAAAATGACTTGTGTTCCTAGCAACGATGTCATTTTGATAGCATTGCCGAGTCATTATCAAACAAAACTAGGTTTCTCAAAAAATTTGTAATATAGAGAATTAACCTAGGTCATCTCTCAAAGACACAAGTTCATTCTATTTTTGGTTTTTATCATGTAATTGTGTTAGGTTTGGAGGAATTTTGTTTCAAACAAATTGTAAACAACAATATAGAAAAGAGAAGATAGAATCCAAACACAGAATTTCAATATTATCAAATATTGGTTCAAGGTTTCAATTCATACGATGTAATTTTCATTGTTCATAACAAATACGAATTCTTAATCAACCTAATTCAATTCGAAATTAATCAATACAGAAATTTAAATCTAGATTATAAATCCCATTAAAACAAGAACTATAATCGCACATTTAAAGTTCTAACAAAATTCAAGTATGGTAATCGATTGAATTAGGAGATTTAGGTTATTTCTGATATGAAGTTACATCATCTCATTTTTGTTTAGGATTCAAAACAAAAATTCAATATCATCAAAAACGAAATTATCCTAAACTGAAAAGAGAAGAGGAAGAGAGAATTCATTCGGTAAAAGTTAGGAACTCAAATTTACTGTAGTTCTTGAAATCCTAAACCGAATGATGGATTAGTGTTGTCTCATAATCATGTTGCTTCAATCAATTCAAGTATAGAAGAAAGAAATCTCGTGAGAGAGAAGAGAAGAGAAATTCCGTGAAAGAGAAGAGAGTTGAGAGAAAATGAGAGAAGCTTCTTGAGCAAGAAACCTCAAATCTGAAAAATGAGGTAAAACTTCAATGCAAAGAGTCATTACATGTATTTAAAGACAAAGTTATGAGCCTAAACTAAGGGTCCAGCCCACCAATTACACTCCTAAAGCCTAATTAACTACAACTAAATAGTTTTAAGACAAGCTGAAAATTTTAATGCAGGGCTGCAATCTTAAGACATGATTTTGGGCCTGAAAACATTTGAATTGGGTTTTTCTCCCAACAAAGAAGTTGTAGATCTCCCTCTTATCTTTCCAGGGACACCAAGTTTGCCCAATCCCAAGTTGTATGGCTCCAAATATGACCTGCACAAATAATTATGTTAAAATAGGAAATTATTACAAAAATTTAGTAAAAATTACGACTAAATCTTAAATGACTCACTAACACAAATCTAAATTAATACTAGTAATACATGAATATATGATACTAAAAAAAGTCAAATAAGACAAAAATATATAAAGAAAGATGTACTAAAATATGACTATAACATACCATGCCAACATGACAAAAAAAAAAAAAAACTTAAAACTACCTTAACAAACAACAAGCTAACCATATGCGCGACAAATAAAACAATAAAGTTTCCCTTCTGTCATAGACATACGATCTATTAGAAATTAGAATTATACCAATTTTAGATAATCCAGCCTAGAAATAGAAGGGACATTCCTAGGTATTGTGCCCAAACAGAATTATCCCTCTATCACTAGCAAGCACATAGTTATGCCCACTACAAACCTCAGAAGATACAAATTAATCACGATGACATTGACATTTGTTTTCTTAGAGTGTGTTTAGATGAGTTGAAGTGTTTTGTTTGAATGAAAAATTTATAAAGTATTTAAAATTCAAGTATTTGTGAAATTCTTTAAAAAATAATTTCAAATTTTTTTAAAAAAGTAAGAATTAGAAATTCTTCATATTTTTCTTTCTTATCTCACCTATATATTTTTTATCTCTCCTATTCCTTAATTGTTAATATTCAAAAATATTTTTATTAAATATTATCTAATATTAATTTTTAAAAATATTAAATATTTAAACTAATATTTATTTTTATAAATTTAATCTTAAAATCTCAATATATATATTTAAAATTAATATTATCCATGGTAAAAATTAAATTACTATATCTAAACTAAAAATTTAAAATTTATGAAATTTGAATTAACTTATTCAAATAAAACATTTAAAGAATGATGGAAATAAAAATTAAAATTAAAGTAATTCAAATTTCAAAAATTTTAAATTTTTAAAATTTTTAAAATTTTTTATTCAAACATATTATAATAAAATATATTTTTTAATGTTTGTAGTAAAATATCAAAAGAAAAAAGACTTTGCCAACTGGATAGTTATCCTTACCTGTCGTAATTTTCATTCCTCGAAGAATGTTGGTGTCAGAGGTCACCATTATCAAGTTGTTCAGTTCACAATTAACCCCGTTATTTGCATCGAAAACACAAGATTATCATGTTAAATATAATGAAAATGAGAGAGCACAAACTAACCTCATCAGTCATCATTTGACCAATATATGTGTGTAAGGGAGATCTTCCTGGTGGAACTATTTGATTAAAGTAGTCTGTTAGTGCAACTATTTCAATACTAAATATATTAATATCCAGATTCAAAATCAAAATTTTTAAATTTACTCCTACCTTCAAGATTTGGCTTCGACAGAGAAATCATGATTCATGACTGTTGAAGGTGAAGATTTGAAGGATTTGTGAGATGGTCATGAAGGAGGTGAGCCTATCGCGCATAAATAATGGAGGAGCGGCGTCGGGGTGGGGAGGTTGCAACAGACGGTGGAGGCAACGAAAGTGTGTTGCCATAGTGGTTTTCACTTCAACGGAGAAGTCAATTGAATTTGGTGAAGCTAGTGGACAAATGATAACTATGGAACTGATCCTTAACAGAAGAACCAGTTTAAATATTTAAGATTTGTAACTATAAAGATACATAATTTGTGATGATGAAGATATATTAAAATAATAAAGATATTATAAAATAAAATGACATATAAACATTATGACATAACAATATTTTATATATATTTTAAAATGATGTGTCAATGTAACATAGAATAGATCGATTTTTATATTATAAATAGATTAATTTCAATTCTTGGGAGAAATAAAAATCTTGCTATACATTATATTTATCTCTAGAATCAAGAAACCTTTTTATGAATTGTCGTGAAATTCAAAAAGGCCTTTCAGTTGATCATGAAGCAACAAATTGCTATCATTTTAGCCTAAATACTACAAAATAATTCATATAATTACCTTCTCATTCTAAAAAAGATAAAACAAGAAAATGAGTTCGAGGATGGTGTTTGTCGCAGTCAAAGGCCACCACAAATCGCGTATTCAAAACTATTACAAAATACACCGATAGTCATTTTAGCAATTCTAGAAAGATAACTTTAGGAAGTAAAATGAGTTATTTTTATATTAGGGAGTAGGGACTAAAAATATTTTTTTAATTTGAAGACTAAAAATAAAACGGACCTAAATAGTAAAAATATATTTAAACTTATAAATAGATGGAGATAAAAGAGATCTGTTCATGAAATGTTGACTATACCAAGAACAGCTAGCTACCATTTACTGCAGTTTAAGTTTTTATGTTATGGTAAGTGGTAACATAATTGGAGTCAAATTTTAAAATAGGGGTGTGAAAAAAATGATAGATCATGTTTCCAATTTAATTATTTATAGACCAAATACACTCATAACATCTCTCAACATAAGGAAATGCCATAATCTTCTATTGTAAAGCTTGATTTGGAAAAAAAGGAAGAAAAAAAACACTTTCGTTGTCAAGCTAAATTGTTTAAAGACCTATTCAATGGAAGATATGGAAAGTAACAGTACAGTGCATATACCCTAAGCCAAGCAACATTGACATGACATTAAAGCCCGTTTAATGGTCATAATAGAATATAATATGATAGGAGAAAAAGATGATACAATAAAAATAAGATAAATTTTAATCATAACTAATATTTGGTAATAAGTCAAATAATATTATAATATATGTTATGTATTTAATATATACTAATAAAACTTTTATACAAATTTTTTTATCTTTTATTAATTATTATCATGAGATTCATACAATTTTTATAAAAAATTAAAATTATCAAAAATAATATGTATATCAAAATAAGAAATCATCTTTATATATAGCTACATATTATAGGATTCTTTTCATGAAATGAAATAATCTAAGCAATCAATTTTGAACCGAAACCTTTATTTGTTCACAGGGGTTGCAGTTCGGAACTGCACAAATGAGACTTGATCTCAAAAAATGAAAAAAAAGAAAACAAAATCGCATTAGAAGGATGATCTTCTCTACACTGTTGTAGTCTCATTTGTGCAACATTTCAGTTTTACATTTTACTACTGGCGCAATCTCAACCGCAGCTGCGACTGCATTCGAAAAAGGAGTTGTCCTTCTCTTGTTTCTCCGATGGAAAGGCGTTTGATGTGAGAGATGAAGGACCAGTACTCACCAGATTGTGGTTCACATTTTCGACACAATTCAGGACAACCATCTATGCTCAAATCTTCAAGGGCAGTGAGGCTATGCATGTCACTCGGAAGATACGACAGCTGAGGACAGTTAACAATATGGAGCATCTTAAGATGACTCATTCTTGTCAGACACTCAGGAAGCATCTTAAGACTATCACAATTTAAAATTAATAATGTCTGCAAAGTGTCTGCGGCTCCTTCAATCCATTCAGGGAATGTCTGTTGCCTTGGACAATGCTCAAGATGCAGATACTTCATCCTCAATCTTTGTTTTGGGCTTTCACAGTTACACGAAAGATTTAGCATCTCGCACTTTATTACAAACAGAACTTCCAGTTTAGGCAGAATATGAAGAGGTAAGGACTCAAGGCTCCCACATGATTGAACAACCAAAATTTCAAGGGAAGTGAGTTGTGCCCTTCTGAACAAAACCTTCAAATTGTCGCAATATTCAAAAGTCAGAGTATGAAGATTGTTCAAGTTTGCAAATTCATCCTCTGGAAGAGTAGATTGTTTTGTGGTTATATGCAAGTGCTGAAGGCTGACTAACATCCCTAATCCTTTAGGCAATGTTTCAAGCTCCACGCATCCTCTGAGTGACAAAAATAGCAAATTTTGGAGTTTGTATATAGATTGAGGAAGTCTTTTTATTTTGCAATTATTTTCAAGCTTGAGAGATCGCAAATTTTCCAATTTAGCAATTGAATTTGGCAGCGTCTCTAAAGAGGAATCACTCAAATCTAAAATTCGTAAGTATTTGTATCTTGTTATCCATGTATTCGAAAGAGCTTCACTGTGCAAACCCACTCCATGGATCGGAAATAATATAATTCTCACACTTCTGGACTTGGGGAACAAAGCATGGCTAAGTGAAACATTTTCAACGATGGATAAATGCCTTACTTGTTCGGGTATATTGCGAGTATGGGAATTTACTACTAAAAGCTCCTCTTTCGCGATGTACAACACAAGATCATGTACCAAATCATGTACTTTGAAATAGTAGATGTGGCCAAAGTCCTCAAAATCCTCCAGAAATGATCTGGAATGTAACTCAGTTATATATTGTTTTGCAACATTCTCTACCTCTCGACTTCCAACCGGAGATCGAAGTAATCCAAGTGTCACCCAAAGACTAGAAATGTAAACACTAGAAAAACCAAAATCTTTAGGAAAGAGGGAAAAGTAAGCAAAACAGTGTCTTAAATAGGATGGCATTTGATCATAGCTTAACTTAAGAGCAGGTAAAATGTCATCTTTTTTCTGTTTTAAGTTCCATATCTCGTGATCTCTTACGAATTCCCACCTTTCTAGATTAAAATTTAAGAATAGGGAACTTCCTAAAGTTCGAACAGCCAATGGAACTCCTCGACATTTTTGCACAATTTCTTTTCCTATCTCCACTAAATTTGGATATTTTGTTTCTTCGCCTTCCTTAAATGCCCATTTGACAAACAGAGATAAACAATTCTCCAGAGAAAGACCTTCTAAAACATACGGGGTAACAGTGCTCATCATTGAAGCAATTGTGTTACTTCGTGTTGTCACTATGATTTTGCTTCCCACTGCACCAACCTTCAATAAATCTTTCAACTCTATCCATTTTGCACGATCATCACTCCATATATCATCCAACACTAGTAAATACTTATGACCAGAAAGCTTGCGTCTAAGACGACTTTGTAACTGCTCAATATCTAAGCTGTTAAGGTTTTCTTGGTGAGCAAAAGCAATATTTGGAGCTGAAGCAGAGGCAGAGTTGATGATTTTAATAATTATCTGCCTAATGTCAAAATCATCTGAGACACACACCCACATCTTCAATTTGAAAAGTTCATCCATCCTCTTATCATTGAACACCAACTTTGCCAGTGTAGTCTTCCCCAAGCCTCCAATACCCACTAAGGGAATAACACAAAGACTTTTATCACCATCACCAAGAGGGTGAGGCTGCATTAAAAGTTTTATAATGGCTTCCTTATCCTTCTCCCTTCCTATAACCCCTGAAGCATCAACATAGGAATAAGTCATTTCCCTCCTTTGCACAAGTCTGTGGTCAACATGAATCCTCTGAAGACCAAACTTGTTGCCATCAGCTGCTATCTTATCCAATCTATTTCTAATATATTTGATTTGACGAGCCATCTTAAAACGTAAAAGAAGAGAATTAGAGGAAGAAAAGAAGTGGCCTACCTTCATTCTGGTAGAGCCTGAAGCTTTGACAACTTGCTTTCTCAAGTTTTGGCACTGAAATCCATCCAATATATCTTCAGCATCTAAGCATGCGTTTCGAATCTGGCTGAGCCATTCACGCATCCCATGCTTCGGCTCCCTCTTCTCCTCAGCATCCAACAACACACCTTTCACAATTGACAAGGTGTCTTTGATCCCTTGCACATCCTCATACACATGATAGGCACGAGAAGCTTGTTCATAAACAGAAGAAGCAAGGTTCCTCAGCAGTGATTCAGCAATATCGAAGACAAAATATTCGGCCATGATATTAGGAAAGAGCAGAAAGGAATTGGGATGTAAGTTTGTGGTGCGGTCATTCGTGCTCCTATAAGTTTGTTTTCCAAATTGAACAGTCAGGATGACCAATGAGTCAATGAGACAATGACGTGATACTGTTTTATAAAGGAAACAGATGGTATGTACATCTATCGGGGTAACCACATAAGTCGTTAATTTTGACTTGTGACTTTTTTTTTTTTTTTTTATGATATTGACTTGTGACTCTTCATGTCACGGTATTACCGTACACTTAGCTAGATCTCATAAATATAAATGAAAATAATTATATATAATTAAGGAAGGAGTCGGAGTTGAATGGTTTGGACACCAATTATTTATTGTCAGTAAAGTTTTTTTATATTGGTAATCAGTCATATCTTTTAATAGTAACATCTCAGTTGTTTATTTAATAAAATAATAATAAAATAAGTAACTTTAAAAGATATAATTGGTTGTTAGTGTAAAAAACTTTACACTGGAAATATAGTGATGATTAACTCTTATTTATATATCTATACATATTATAAAAGAGATATATTTTGTTAATCGCTCTTTATGTCTCTATTATAATTAGACCCATTAGATATTAAAAAAGAAACTTCTTATATTTTCTCTGAATAACTATCCGCATTTTCTAAAAAGAAATTCACTTATTCTAAGAATACACATTAAATTTTAAATAAAAAATATCTATATTTATTTGCTCTAAAATTTTAAATATATTGATAATCTATTAAAATATAAAATTCAATTGATCTCTCTCCACTAATAGATTTAATGGTTTTTTTTAGATGTTTGAATTTCAACATTTTTTGTTTTAAAGAATGC